TATATATCAGTTGAAAAAGTGTAATCCTTTGAACGAAGAGTAAAAAACCCTTTTGATGATGGAGTAGAACAATAAATCCCTCACCGTAGAATAAAATACCCTTTTTAAGTAAGCAATAAACCCTTTTCTCGAGACCGTAGGATAAAATACCCTTAGTATGAAAGTAATAAACCCTTTTATTAAAACCGTATAATAAAATACCCTTGAAGATAAAATCATATACCCTTCTCCTTAAATCTCAGATTAATAAACCCTTTTTCTTCTTGTATCATCTTTTTTCATATACCCTTCGTTTCATAAACCCTTCAAGGGTTTAGCATAATTTGTAGAAAGGACAAGGGTTTATTATTCTACTCTTTTTCTTTACAGTGCATCACGGTAAAACTGGCGACCGCGAACTCTCATGAGCTCGTTGTCGGTCTCCTGCTTTTGTAAGTCTATGCCAAGTTCGTTTCCCAATGCCAGCATAGTACGCTGCAATTCCGTAACATGGAGGGATCCGACGCCGAATACTGGCCCACCGGGCCACCCTGAAACATCCCATACTCGACCACCAAATCTATCAAGCTTCTCAATCAGACAAACGCCACTTCCGGAACGGTTAGCAAGCTGATATGCTGCATATGTGCCAGCAAATCCAGCTCCCAAAATGATAACATCACAATGTATGATCTTGCTCGATGGCTTTGGGATGGTAGATGGGTTTGTGGGTCTCAAGCCGAAGTACAAACCTAGACCAAGAGAAAGTCCGATGAACACCACTGTAACTGTCACCACGCTTCCTATACATTTTTTTCCTTTTCTACACACGGGTTGAGTATCAGGCTACAAATACTTGATCTTAATATTAATAATACAATACGAAAGAGCACACCTGCATATTATTACGAGCGTTTTGTGTCTCTGGAGCAACAGCACTGCAATTCGACAACATTAAAGAATGGATGTTCCGGTTTTGTGCGTCCTACATGCTACTACTGTAGCTTCCTTATATAGCCAAAAGCGTGAATCACCAAAAGATATTCTTTTAAGTCAACAACATGAAAAAGGCCTAAACTATTAATCTGGGTAGCAAAATTGACATTAACTATTATCACACAGCCTACACGAATAAATATGATTAGGCGACAAACCGTCTACGGGGGAGTTCCCAACATCCATAGGGTTCTGCTGCTGCTTGTAGAGGTAGGAGGCGCCTCTGGGCTGCTGGTAGTCAATCCGTCTTACTTTTAGGTTAGCCATCTATTAGTAAATCATAAAACCTTACTGAATAACGGGGAAAATCAAGAAAGGTGTGGATGTGGGTTGCACTAGTGAAGAAAAGATCTCACACGCACACCCAACGTTTTGAAATAACGTCCCATATCTGATTCGATGCAGAGTTAAATGGGCTACAAAATGGTGTATAAAAGTTTTTGGTGATCGATTTCTGACCTAGGTATTTGATCAAAATACTGAAAAAGCCATGAAATCGTATATGCAAAGAAAACGCTGTTTTTTTACTTTTTGCCTTCAATATCGAGACTGAGAAGAAATATCATATATACGATTTTGTAGAGCAAGTCAAGTCATATCGATTGGTATGTGACTTCATTTGGATACTGAAAAATTTGTGACCGAAAAATTTCAAAAAAGTATAGGTCAATTTTTCATGCTTCTTTGTCCTATTTTTGAGGGTGCCTGTGGTCCGACAGCCCTAGCGAACCAGAGGTAAATCTGTAGACCGTAATATTTAGGATTCGTCTATGGTAGACAAGGCCTGAAATTCCTAGGGGATCAAATTCAAATCGGTTGACCCCCATGTTTTTCGATCTGTGAAATTTTTTCATTTTCTCGTGGAACGTCTCTTAATCTAACGGGTGGGCCATAAATAATGATGGTCTTCGTATTTCTGGAATATCTCCGCCATTTTTCATTCGTTCGATCTAATTTTTTTTTGAACGGTGCGTCATTCGATTCTCTACAAAAGTGGGTATTTGCTGTTGCGTTCGAATAGATCAGTTTCATTCGCGAAAATGAAAAGTAAAGATATACAAAAACTTGTACTTTCGAAGTACGAAAATGGTGATGGACCGACAAAGATTTTTCGAGATCTCAACGGTACGCTCAGTCTTCCGACGATAGAACGATGGTGCAAAAGCATCCGTGACACCGGCTGCATCAATCTATCAAAACCACCCGGTCGCCCGAGAACAATTCGAACGAACGCAAACATTCAAAAAGTCAAACACCGACTCGAACGGCGCAGGACTGTAAGTTCTCGAAAACTATCCCGTGAATTGGGTATTTCTCGAACGAGTGTTCGGAGAGTACTCAAGAATGATCTAGGACTCCATGCCTACAAAGTACAAAATGAACCGATGCTCACCGATGAGCATAAAGAAAAAGAATCCAGTTTGCTAATTGGATACGAACAAACTTCCGAAAAGAGGACACGATGAAAATTCTGTTTTCTGATGAGAAGATGTTCGACATTGATGGAGTTTATAACTCTCAAAATGACCGAATATGGGCGGTTAATCGTTCAGAAGCCGATATCAAAGGTGGTACCCGGCAAAAACGTAAATTTCCGCAAAAAGTTATGGTTTGGCTCGGAGTTTGTTCTAAAGGTGTGTCACCTCTAATTTTTTTCGAGAAAGGGACAGTCGATCATGACCGATACATCAAGGAGGTGCTTCCAGTCGCTCTCAAGTTTGGCAATGACATGTTTGGAAACGACTGGATCTTCCAGCAAGATGGTGCAAAGCCTCACACTCATGCAAAATCTCAGGAATGGTGCACCAAGAGCTTTCCATCGTTCATTGACAAGAGCCACTGGCCTCCAAACAGTCCTGATTTAAACCCATTGGACTACTGTATTTGGAACGAATTCGCTCAACTGATCGAGTGGGACGCAGTGACATCTAAAACAACATTAATCACTGCTCTGAAATGTGCTGTTCGAAAAATTTCCCAGGATGTTGTCTTTGAAAGTTGTTCGTCTTGGACTAATCGATTGTATCGATTGTCTCAAGACAAGGGAAATTATTTAAGATAATAAAAATAGTTATTTTTGTAGAGAATCGAATGACGCATCGTTCAAAAAAAAATTAGATCGAACGAATGAAAAATGGCGGAGATATTCCAGAAATACGGAGACCATCATTATTTATGGCCCACCCGTTATAAGACGATGAAAGGGATCTTTTTATGTCTTTCGTAACGCGATGTCATGAACCTCTGTATATATCATTTAGATTGCTAGTTATTTAAATCCATGTACATCCCAATACATGAGGGATGAAGATAAACGTCGAGCGAAACATCTGATAATCAATGAAATTAAAAGTCAGAGCAGCACCGCAGTACCATCAACTACTTCTTACAATTAATTCGACAACAAAATCTACCAACACTTCTTCATCAGGACTGTCGACATTGGCAACCCAAAGCAAGATGAAATTATTGCGTGAAAAGTGCGGTATTGCACCACAAGCTAATCTTGAGCCAATACAGATATCAAGCATTAAACAAGAACTCTCAAGGTTCGAATCAATCCAGGTGATGAACAATGAAACATTCTCTTCATTCTGGAAGCAGCGATGGAGAGTTCTTCCAAGCCTTGTCAACATAGCTCGTCGATATGGTTGCATACCAGCTACTTCTGTACTATCGGAAAGCTCATTCTCAGTAGCTGGTTACCTAGTGAGAAAAACAAGCACTTCATTGACTTCAAAAAACTTGAAGAAGTGTATGTTCTTGAAGGATAAAATCTGAAAGAAATAATATCCGTTATCTCCTTATATATGATACTTGGCAAAGTGACCGTTTTTTCTTGATTTTATTTTATTCTATCGTTTTACCTTTCACATTTCTTTTCCAACCATTTGTATACTTCTAAGCACAAGGAAAGAAGAAAGTTTACTGCAGTTCCACGAATATGAACTGTCATGATTTCAGACAAGGGTCTTATTAGAAACCTCCTCAAAGAGAAGATGGCAATTTCATCATGGTATTCACAATGTAAATGACGATGGATGTCTTTTCACATCCCAGGAATCTTTTTTAAACTTGAAACCGTTAATTTTTGATTTTGAGAAAGAAATGCTTATCGGTTCAGATCATGGGATCTTGAGCTGTCACAGTCCTAGTGGGAGACTCATTCAACTTCCAAACATTCTTCTCATATAGGTCACCCATGTGTAGGGGGCTATCTAAATTATCAGTTTGAAGTGAAGCAAGATGGTATCAGAATATTTTCATTTACAGCCGAGGGTCAAGCGAATCGACCCAATTTGCGTTACTTGTTGTACTATATATCGATTTATAAATTGAATCTATCATACGTCTGATTTCTGAACAATAAAATATGCACAAAAACTGTGAAAAACATTTTTTTCGTGGTAATTTGTCTCACCCTCACCCCTTCCTGACACAGGTGATACTGCCGTTGGTGAAAGGAGCCTACGGCTCCCTGGCACTCTTAGATAAGACTCTACATAATCTCGATTTATTTCAATTACCACACATGAATAGAAAAACAAAACAGTTACTTCGTACAACGACAAAGACCATAACCAGCATGAATAACAACACCATAATTACTATGACCATTATAAACATAACCACCAGCACCATAGAAATGATAATTATAATTACATGTCGCATCAGGACGAGGATGCCAACGCTTGAAATCAAATATTTCAAAATATTTGTAGGCACGCTCCCAACGCTTGTAATCATGATCTAGATCACCATCATAAGACCAATCAATACATTTGTCACAACTTGGACAAGCATTACCACCACAATAGCCAACTTTCTTCTGCACAGGCAGTGTTGTATTGTTTGATGCGGCAGCTGGAACGACTTCTAAATAAAGATATGCAATGTTTTGAGTTACTTCGAATAAAAAAATCTTTTTTTGGTATTCTACGACATATCGATGACGCAAAATACTAAGAAGTTAGATATGAGGATGTCTATGGTGGCAGAAGACGTTTATTTGAATTCAGTGATTTCTGAAAGTTGGAGAAAGAGACATGGCTCAAAATATTTTTATTTGGGAATTTTTATCTGTATAATCAGAGTTTTATTAATGTAATAAAAGACTTTTCGGAACTTGTATGAACCCACAAGAAATATTGACATAGTTCGGTAGCTGTGCTTAAGTGTTGGTCATTCAAAGGCCTATAGGAGGAGACCACAGACGATAATGAAATTAATGAAAATATATAGTCTAGGTCAGCACAGAAAATGAAGCTGTGTTCAAGAACAATTTTTTATTGGATGCGCCAACCATAGAAACCAGAGATGGGGATGGTTCAAGCTTTTTGAAAACGGAACCGAATGGCAACCGAAATGTATTTGTCATTTATGAACTCAGTTATTTAGAATCATTCTTTACAGATTAAAATCATATTTATATCTGTCGCTATGTTAGAATGTCTGCTCTCAGTCGTTCTTCTCTGCTCTAAATGAGACCATTATTTTATTTCAAAATAAATCACATGTGAAAAACAAAATCACTAGATAGAGTTAGACCTATAAACAAAGACGCATTTGAAAAAAACTAAACCAGATCATTGATCGCATGAGTTTGTTCCATATTCTTTTTTTGTATTCGTTGAAGGAATTTTGAAAAATGAAATCGTTGACGGTATCCGGAGATAGACGTGAACGTTTTTTCGTTATGATGTTCCCTGCCAAAGAAAATTCGCGTTCAACAGTAGCACTTGTCGCTGGAACAGCAAAGATTCGTTTTGCAATTTTTGCTAGGCGAGGATATAAATCAGAGATGGGGGCGGTTCAAGCTTTTTGAAAACCGAACCGTGCCCTTCTTTGCTTCTTCCTTGAATTGTTAATTGGAAGTTTTGGAATAGACAATTCAGCTTCACAACATCAATTTTGTGGAACTCACATATATTTTCGAAGAAAATAGTCAGTGTAAGTTTAATTGTTAGGTTTTTGCGGCTCCCCTGTACCCCACCCCACCCCCCTCTCCCCATTACAGACACAAAACATGAAAAAACTAACACTTCGATGCACTAATTAGATAAAATTTTTGTACAGGTCGATCGCCTATGTTCACCACTACTCACATCACTAATAAAAATCTAGTTTCACTAATTAGAAATCGTTATAATTAGGATTTAATCCCTAATTAATCATCAAAATCTGTCGTTTTTATTATTANAGGAAAAGTGACATTTTCTCGGAACTTTGCCATTGCTGCTTATTTTTGAATAAAATATGATCTCACTACACTGAAAAAATAAAACTTCTATTTGATCAGTATCTAACTGACCGAAAATTTTTCATGTAAATCAATTTGTATTTTAGATAACTATAGCTGGCAGACATGTTGGCCTGATAATACTTTTCATAACTGAGCTATTCAATGAGAAGTGAACTACAGACTAACCTATTTAACTAGTGTTTTCACATTTCATCGAGTCAATTCTAAGATATGTTTTGGGCTCATCTTGAGATCAAAGTCGGGGAGAACTTAACCGTCTGCCACTTTGTTTTTAGATTGAGCAGAGCATAGGTCAATTTCGAAAATAAAATCCAACTTGATTATGTGGCTGCTTGTTCGACAGATAATTCTTTAGTACAATACAACTTATAGCCAACGAATCTCTTTGGTTTTCCCTATTCTTGAGTTGCAAACTACCTCACATTTCTAAAAATTTACGCACAATGAGCTCTCGATCGCTGACTTTCCCTGCAAGCTACCATCTACAAACAAAGAGTTTTCTCAGATTTTGCATCGATCTTAGATTTATAAGACGTTTCTTTGAATACTCAAATGAAACAAACGATTTGACTTCAAGAGTAGATAATCTAGAATTAAGTCAATTTTGATACTATGGTACAATTGATTCGGGTAGCCGTCCAAAACTGAAAATACTACGTGCCCATTTATGCCACTCTATGTTTTTTAGATACTGATACGGTCTTGAAAAAGTCTCTACACATTTTGTTTTCAAGAAATCGAAGGAACTACTGCGATATATTACCAGAAAATCAATCGACTTATTGTAGTGTTTTCAATCAGGAATAACTCAACACTGGTGAAATCCCGGTTAACCTACAATTAGAGCTTATCCTACGGATTAGCTGGCCCTTTTCTGAAAGAATTGCACGAACAACATCGAGTTCCTACGTTCGGGTCGAAAAAAGCATCTTTCATAAAAAACAGGTAAATTTTCTCTAAGACACCAATATGTGTTCTTCACTTTGCTTTGTTCCCTTCGCTTTGAATTATAACTTTCTGGATTTCTACTAAAATAAAGCGTTCTAGAATGTAACATATACATTTCTACAAACGTTTTTTAGACAAAATAGGGAGGTAGAAAACCTAATCCAAAATCTTGACTTGGAATTAGTTGATATAGACAATGAAATTTAAGCTGATTACAATCGTTTCAATTAGTATCTCATACAACTTAATAGGAAAACACAGGCAATGACCAGCAATTCGAGTTCAAACTTGTTTCCCGTTAAATTCCATGAGAGGTTATTAACAATGGAAAATTCACATTCCACCTGCATGTATCGGATAATTAGGAACACTACTGCTACATCTAGTATCTTCACTTATAGCGCATAACTTTCAAACTCAGAAACTCTAAAAGTCATTCCTTATCCTGAGAAATGAGCGTAGGAGAAGCTGAGAAACTTAGTCCTTTCATACCATTACAATTGAATTAAAACCACGTTCCAATCTCTTTACGATTTAGCACCTCGATTTGCATTCTTCTTCCAAATCGTTCGCTTTTTACCAGAATGACTGTTATTCTCAAATCCTATAATTGCACTCCTCATCAGAGTTAAAATTCCATCAGAGTTTTTTTTACAAAATCGACATTCTGTTGAAATTTCATCTAAAGCCCGTCCCCCTCATCACCCTCCGGACAAAACCAGACTTCAAGCTTTAAAACAAAAACACAATTACCCTTACATATTGGAATGCCTAGGAGGAGTTCCAATTTTACTCATTACAAATCATATTTTGAGAAAAACGGGAACGAATGTATAAAAGTGGATTTTTCTGAGAAATGGGTATTAGTACATACTTTGAGATTCATATTGATAGTTTAATCAACAAAATACCCAGAAAACACTCAGTTGAAGTTCAAAATGAGTGATTGATTGTGCGTAGATTGAATGTTTTTGTTTTTTTGTGCACTGAATGAAAAACCGAGGGACCTGGAAAACCATATAAATCTGAGAAATCAGGCCAGTTGACGTCAATTTCGAAGAGGAAGTCCTTAGAAACCCGAAGTATTTCGTTCATTAAATGAGAGATTCTAAGAGAAGAAAATTAGGCGCGTCTTCCTATGATAAAAGGTCAGTTTCTACTTTTCTTTTGAAAAGTCGACTTCTAAGGAGGACGGGGGGGGGGGCTAAACAAGAACGCCTGGTGCAGTACAAAACAATCCTTTATGTCAAACGCATAAATCCTGAAANCCCCCCCCCCCCCCCCCCCCCCCCCCCCCCCCCCCCCAACCAAGAACGCCTGGGGCAGTTCAAAACAATCCTTTATGTCCTACGCATCAATCCTGAAACCAGGGCTGGAACTAATTCAGCTGAGACAGCCTACCTGGCCGGTAAAAGCCGGTATTTCACCAATTTTAAATCGTGAAAATGTTATTTTCGACCCATTTTTTCTCACAAAAATGAAGATTTTACGTCTTTCTCAATCAGTATAAATAGTATGACGTTCAATCTATCAATTTTTAATCATTGTTCAAGAAACTGTCAGTGACGTTAAACATTGGTTGAAGAGGATAATAACGCACTAGACCAGGTAACGGATAAGTAATGCATAGCAAAATGAAAGCCTACGTGAATGATTTCATTTGAGTCACACACAATATCTCACTAGTAGTGGGCGAATAGTATTGGAGCTAGTTCTTACTCGAGGAAAAGTTAGCGTTTTAGTTGTTGACAGGACTGCTACACTTTTTTATATTTTGTGATTTTCATTCAAAGTAAATATTTGGCTGCTATATTATTTGCAGTTCTCGAAACAAGCATCGATACTAGCGGAGAAATTCACCATTTATGTTTTAACACAGGAAATAAATCCAAAGAAATGTCATCTTTTTTCCTTTTTCTCTATGTTTTATTTTTATAATAAGCATGCAAGCGATTTATCATCCATATCCGTTTTTCAAAGTCCTCATCTCTTAAATTTCCAACACGAAATAACTGCTATTCTTTTAATCGCATGGAGTCTATTTTTATACAAATTCAAGAAGTGATGTTTTCCGTCTCGTGTAGTCTGAAAATGTTTTATTTCTGCGGAAAAATTGTTTCCTTAAACCGATCTATAGAAAAGATTTAGCAGTTTCTCACCGGTTTCGGAGACAATTTTAATCAGCAGGAGCGGATCGGTTGACAACTTTTCTACAGATTTGAGCCGTGCCTCAAGCATACCTCCAGCGAACCTTCCAGATCAGCATCCAGTTGTTCGTCGGCACCACTCACGGCTAGCTACTCACATGTTTAAATCTACTTCACCAACTGATGGTTAATTGCCGTTTACAAAATAGCCAATTTACGTTTGGTTTCTCACAATAAATTATCGGGTTTGCGATAGGAGAATTCTCGATGGGGAATACTAAGTATTGAGTCTCGTTGCCACTTATTCATCATGTTTTCATTTTGTCGATCTTTCTGAAAAAAAAATCATTGTTCTGTGGAAATTTTTCGTTATCGAAACCTTAGTGTAGTTCTTTCGAAGACACTCTACGTCTCTCACAGATCTTCCTTAAAGCGCATCATCGGTGCACTGTAAGAAACCGAAGATTCCTCCCGCAGATAGATCGGAAGAACCTTTTAAAAAGCTTCATACAAAACCCTCACTTGGAAAAAGGTTCCGCACGGAATCCAAACAGGTCTCGTATTCGCGTACATAGATTTTTTAGGCTAGGAAGACCAAAAGGTTTTGGATTTTGTGTACAAAACGCTTTTTAGGCTGTTCATCGGCGACCCTCTGGTACGCCATTCATGGCTAGTCGCTTCCACGTTTAAGGCTACTTGATCAACCGATAATGCATTTCCGTAACTATTTATTTATCCCGTTTAGTTTGGGCTCCTCGCGAAAAAACTATTGGATTTACAATAAAAGGCTACTCCATATAGAATTCTAAAACTGCACCTACGGTGCGAATGTGTAAGGGTAGAGCACATTGTTGAAATTATGGAATGTCGCCGTGCGATTCAAACCGTGTTTTACAAAGAATGTTTACTGGAATTTGATAAAAGGCTTCTATTGAATTCATTTTCTTATAGCGAGTACAAGTACTCAAGTTATACTGAAAACATTGACGCTGAATCTGAATCCTTGACTTTCTATCGTTTATGTTAAATTGATAACAAAAAATATCGGAAAAATTTGATGCCTATATCTTACATTCTCATCCATGCAGTGTCTTACGCGGGATTCATCACTTGCTGTTTTTCGTTAGTTTCCTGCTTACTGACTTCCATGGACGCATCGACAAAAAAACGACATATGTATAGATAAGGGACGTTCAGAAGCTGTGAAACGATTTCTAGAAAGATATTGAGTATGGATTTGGGTTCTTCATCTATGATCGCCTTGGTCAAGTTTTTTTTCTAAAACATTCATGTTTAACAAATGATAACAAAAAGAATGAAAATATACAAACGACCTCCAATTATCATTAGCTACGCTCGATTATTCGTGGTGAATTCTTTAGAAAATACTGAACTTAATACCTAACATTTGAAAATAATATTAAAAACAACTTTGGATTCAGATTCGCCGCTCTCTCTTACCCTTGATCCTGTTTCAGAAGGAACCATGATTAATATTAACTCTCACTTTTAGTCATAGTTACTACTGATTATTGGATTTTGACCGTGGGGTCTCATCCTCTTTGACTCCGTTCGTTGCGATGAACGTATTCTTCCAAAGCAAAGGAATTTTGCGTCATAGTGGTGGCTCTGTCCTCCACAACCCCCTGCCCTTCCCAACCGCCACTAGTCATTGACCGATTCTTATTGTTCGACAGACAGACGAACTTATTTTGTCATCTTCTCCGTTAATATTCTCTGGGATGACGATCGTTCTTTCAGAAAAGAGGATATTGACCTTTTACCCATCAGTACTCATGGGAAAGGAGTCAATCGAAAACTCTGTTTTCGTTAGCTTTCAGTTCTTTGCTGCAGTATAGTAAGTCCATTAAGCGAGGCGCAGACGTTTTACCTGATCTTTCGATACAGGAGAGAAATTTGATTCAGCACACAAATAAAAGTGGTTTCGCTTCTAAACAGTTGGTAATAATCCTAGTTTCGATCGTGAACGCCATGGTAACTTGCGCTGATTATATAATATGCCACACAAAACCAGGAATAACAGATGCTCATTCATACATTCGATATATTTATTGATTCCGCTTGTAAGACGTTTACTGTTGCATATAGAAAGAGCTAAACATTCAGTCGAGCGGCAAGCCAGTCACAGCAACAGACCTTCCTAGTACATTGCTGAACCACCAATAGGGTTTTGAGGCAAACGAAGCTCATGTTCAAACTCTCCGACTCAGATTAGCTATATAGAGGCTTCCTGATTGGTTGGACAGACAGAAACACAAACATTTTATGATAGGAGAACCCTTTCTTTCAGAAAAGGGACCTATTCTGGACTGTTGAGCTGTTTGAAGAGATTGCCTGAGGAGTTGATTTTGGATCTTCTTGTAGATGAGATCTCGCTCGAAATAGTCAGTTTTTCATTGATCGAGTGCAAGGAGACGGATGCTATTTGAAACCTATCATCGTTTCAGTTTCTCAAGAAGATCCATTGAATGAATGTTCGGAAGTGAGGAAGTCATTATTTCCAGTTTCTGTGTGAATTCTGCATAAGCAAGTGAACTTTCTTCAACGGTATTTATTACCTTTCTCGGTTTTCCGAGTGGTAGAGAAAAGATCAGTAAGTGTCGGGTAATCCGAAAATAACAAATTCTCATCAAGAAACGTCGAAACTGAGGGAAAATGTCCTTGAATGTGGGTTTGAATGGAGCAAATGCAAACATTTTTCTGCAGCTTCGCCCTTCAACAGCAGAGTTGTGATAGTTAGGATCCTTCCCCACTGGTGATAGACATCGAGTATGCACTTTCATCTGTACCTTATCAATGTTTTAGCAGTCTCAGACATCATCAGATGAGCAGTGAAATCGTGGCGTCGTACAAGTCTCGATCGTTGAGGAAGGGAACGAAAGCGGACGGTTCTTTTTTCAGATTGAGGGTGACAAATTCTATGGATAACTGAGCGTTATGGTGAAGAAAATGGCGTCGCCAAGTTTCTAAGCTACTTCGTTATTTCAATCTTTAGCAAACATTAGTCTCTATCTCACGTGAGATCCATTGCATGACAGATTCAAACGGTTATACATTGGAATCAACAATTAGAACGAACAGATACGAAGAAGATTTATTGTTTTTGATTGATCTTCAAGCCACTCATCCGAACGATAAAAACTCTTCTGTCCTACGTGACGAGAAATGTTCAACGAAAGATCGAAAACAAGCTCATCTCTCAGATCAGATCAAATAGGACAACTTCTTTGAACGACAAATCAGGCAATTGAATAAAAAAAACGGGCAGATCAGAACCGTGTCTTCATCGTCAATAATTGTGCAATGGCAATGCCCTTTTTCTTTTGGTCAATCGCAAAATGATCTCAAAGTCTTTGCTATTCTCCTCAACTGGTGTCGAAAAGTCTCGTTTCAAACGTGGATGAACAAGAACTTATTAACTTACTTTCTGTGAGAGGCAAAAATGGTACGACGAGATCATCATAGTTTCGTTCACAGCTAAATTAACAGCAATCTCATTCCATTCTAGAAATTAAAAGCTGTTTGTCAAAGCTTACCAGTCAATAAATTCTTCTTTGTTCACTGCTCCATCTTTACTTTTACCACATAATTCCATAATTGCTCTGGCAACGGACTTTGCTGCGTTCGTATTCACCGCACCTTCGCCATGTTCCAGCTCGGCTATAACTTCAAGAAACTTAACAATTTTTCCATCATCGATAGTTTGAGCATTATTGTAATCGCAAACCGAAAATACCTTAAAATGAACCGAATACTATTAGGGTGGATAGAGAAACCTATCTAACACTAACCAAACCAAGACGTGTTTTTAAATCGCCCGGCTGTATAAGAGCAACAGCATTCATAAATTCGACGAAGCTAATTTTGCCACTTTTGTCGATGTCGATGGTCGAAAACGCATAATCACAGTAGTTTGCCGGATTTCCTCTAGAAATTTAGGTTACAAACATCAGGTAGGAATGGCTCAAAACCAGTCCGATCGGCCGAAATTCGATTATAAACCAGACAGAAACCAACAAATGTTTTTGAAAAAAAATCGATTCTTAGAATTTCACCAGAAATGAAATATTTTGAGAGAACATTAGAGATAAACTTCGCATAACGGGTTCAAACAGAGTTTGATATCACCACAAGGTAAAAAGAAGGCAAAAATTAGTATTTCAGACTGCTTTAAAACGATTTAAACTCTACTTCCATCCTGTTTCAATCCTACACTAGCCTGATTCTATGCGAATTTGAGATAGAAGGAAGCAAATGTATAATCGAAACCGTGTCTTGAAGCACTGAATATCTACCTTTTTAGCTGTATCGACAATATTCCCACATATGATTAGTGAAAACTGAGTAATACGTACCGTATGATTTACTTGCTCTGAGAAACACGTGAAGCCTTAATTTTATGGCTAAAAGGAGAGTCACGTGAGGAAGTTTTAAAATTTCAACCAATGAATGGCCTCTAGCAGACTGACTCTAATTATAATCTATGAGATAACCAGCAATTGTATATTTATGACCGTTGAACTACAGTAGCAATATGCGTATGCTTTATATCACACATATTTGATATTAGCACACTTACTTAGGAAAAAGTTTAACAAGTTCAGAGATGAAATCGTCCTTTGAGAGTTCACCATCCAGACTAAATATAAATTAGACGTGAAACCATTCTAAAATTTCACCACTATGATGCACTTACTGTTCTTTCATGAATTCGGCATGCCACTTCAATAGACTCTGTTCTGTCAGGCTGGCATTTTGTTTCAAAATCAATGAAATTTGTGTACGGCTCAGTTTTGCTAAATAAACACAAAGTTTGACAATGTAAAACAAGTATTCAGTATAGAGAAATAGGGTCCCAAAGTTTAAAATCTTTTCTACTGGATGCAGAAGCTAACAACTGCGATTCTAGTCTTTGATTAAACATTTCTGACAATATTAAGGCACGGGATTGGAAACGAAGGGAATTAACGTTTGATATTTCTTAGGACCATTATATGTATTTTCCTCTTTCTACAAAATGATAATCCTTCTTTTGCGTTTTAGATAACTTAGTAAGACCGGAGTACTTCACAAAAGGTATCAAAACTTCGCTCGAAAATGTACCTGCATCTCAGATGAAAAATTCTCTTATCAATCAGAAACTTACTTAGTGAATCTTTCCAAAAATTATACGATTCAATTGAGCCTTGTGTTGCAAAATAAATAACATAATCGTCAGGTTTTTCATCCAAACTCGGATGTAAATCATGATCGATCACCCGAAAAATGTCATTCATATAATTTTTTTTCAATTGTGAAAAAAATCGCAATTGTTTTAACATATTTCGTTTATTTTTTTTGGACCATTGTTCGCATATATGCAGCAGATACACATCATTATCGTAGAAATCCAATATGATGTCCTCGACAGATTCGATCTGTGTCAACAGCAGAGATTGATCTGGACTAATTTTTTTCAATGTTTCAATTTTTGTCTTCACGTGTTGATTTTCTTTCAAAAATTTGTCCATTAATAGTTCTGAGCACGGATTTTCAAGATCAAATTTATCGATTAGTTCTTCCATTTCGGATTCTTCAGTAGTACCCGAACGAATTTTCTGCAACAAAGATGCCATTTGACGTTGTGTTTTCAATTCATCACCGGCATGTGTCGCTTTTTTCTCTTTAATTACTTTCAACCAATCTTTAGGAATATATTGTTCCCATGATTTAATATCATCCAAAAAATCGTTAAATTTTCTTGTTGTCATTGATATTTGCTCAAAAATATTTTCAATACGAAAGACTAAATGCTCTGATACTTCTTTGATTAATCTAAAACAAAAGATTTCAATGAATTACGGGTTTCTCAAAAATTTTCTTTACCAACCTTTCAACTTTCAATTCAAATTTGAACATTTGTGCAATTCGTTTCAATGGATACAAAACAAACTCCAATTGTCGTCCTTTTCCACCATTTAATGGTTTAATTAGATCGGGAATATTTACGTATGTTTTCATTACTGCGTCGATCGTTTGTGGGCAATCTTTGATCAATACATCACCGGAAAAGCTGACTGTTAATGATTCAAACGCAGCTTTATTTATATCCCCACAGTTGACCTTTGCGTTGCCTTCAATACTACCAGCTATACTCTTTAATACTACCGACAGTTGACCTTCTAATTGTTCCACAGCTTCACGATTTTCAACAACTCGTTCGAATGTAGCAGCTACATTTGCTCCCCATATAATTCCAATTACGACATGCGTTGCATTTGGATTTTCTAGCGCATCAAGTGAAAAATATTTGTATAAATCAGCCGTATTTATGAGTAGGTGTTCTTGTTTTGTTTTCGCTTTATACATGAATGTAACTCGAACAGTGTGACTATTTGTTTTCGTTTGTTTTAAATACTTCGCTGATCCTGCCACATCGATCAATCCTCCCAATAAGCTTAATTTCAGACTGGCTTCAATATTCATATTGTTGAATGTCTCTTTTTGCGAGTTGTTGAAATCGATATGATAACTGACATTGGCACTGTCCTGAAGTCGGATAAATGACTCCGGTAACTCTTTGTTGAACAAGTTGCCTCCTTCCAGTGTGTCAGTTCGAATATCGTACAGTGAACCCACAATACCATGGCGACCAAGTGCTTTTCGTTCGATTGCACCAGTTGATGTCATTTCGTTTTGATGCCTATGTCAAATACGTAATTCATAGTGCAAATTAGGCATGCTATAGTTTTTTTTTCATTTTTTCTAGTGGACCGAATCCGATATCGTTGTTAGACAAAATTATTCCCAGACTAACTTCATTGAAGTTATCATATCATGATTCATGAATTTCATCGGTTATTTCTCTAAAAATGGCCCAACTGAAAAACATTGTCTCGAGAATAAAGAAATAATTATAAAACTATTTATTTTAACAGGAGCGAAAATTTTTTTTTTGTAATTGACAATGTCAGCCAAGAAGACTATCGAAAATGACAGAATTTACTTTTGCAGAAAAACTGCAAAAGTAAATTCTGTATAGGTTATCTTTTATGATGGAACTAACTGATATTGTGAAATTACATTAGCACTATTACATAGCGACGTATATACACGACCATTGAATGTTTTTCGTTCTTCGTATAATACACATATAGGCTGTTTATAACTAGCGAACTATTGTTTTTACTATACGATGACATCATTACACCTTCATTTCTTTTTTATCTTCAATCTATACGAGATAAATCGAAAATAATCTTTTACGTAGTATCGAAATGCGTCCATACATGCTGCCATAGTTATTTTTGAAATATAATATATATGTCGTAGGATAGATTAAAATCCAGTTCTGTTTTAAATCGAGCTAGTACAGATTAAAATTTTAATTTTTCCTAGTTCAGATTAAAATTTTAAAGTGAACTAGTTGACTTCGAAATGCATTTTAATCTCAACTAGTTGACTTTAAAATTTTGATCTGAACTAGGACACATTAAAATGTTTAGTCAAATTATCCGTGGCTGGCTGGTTGAAGATACGCGTTGGGGTGACGACAAGGGTCTATGGTGAATGATGATGGGTGAAGATGGAACTATTACCCGCGTCCTCGCGCTCGCCTTCACTTTCACCTATTATCCATCCAAATGTGTATATTTCAATCTGAACTAGTTCAAATCAAAATATTTTAATCTGTCCTGGTTCAGATCAAAATATTTGAAACTGTTCTAGTTCAGTTTAAAATATTTTGATTTTTCCTAGTTCAGATCAAAATTTTAAAGTCAACTAGTTGAGATTAAAATGCATTTCGAAGTCAACTAGTTCACTTTAAAATTTTAATCTGAACTAGGAAAAATTAAAATTTTAATCTGTCCTAGTTCGATTTAAAACTGTACTGGATTTTAATCTATCCTACG